TTTTTCTTCTTTACCCCATTTAAAAATTTTTGATTGGGGCATAATTTAGGGGAAAGGATACTGGGGTTTGAACCCAGGGATGCTTTACCACTCAGCCACATCCCTAGTCCTTTTTATTTTTTACTTTATGACAGGGTCTTGCTAAATTGCTTAGAGGMATCCCAGCAACTCAGGAACTCAGGAGACTGAGACAGGAGGATGTGAGTTCAAAGCCAGTCTCAAAGGCTTAGTGAGACCCTAAGCAACTCAGCAAGAATCTGTCTCTAAAAAAGATCTGAGGATGTGGCTCAGTGGTTGAGTGTTCCTGGGTTCAATCCCTGGTACAAAAAAAAAGAAAAAGAAAAAGAAAAAGAAAGAAAAGAAAAAAGTAGACAACCACTAAAAGAATGGAGACAGATAATAAAAATTTCAACCCAGTATAGGGGGAGAGGTCATATACCCCTGTAATACTAGGGACTTGAGAGGATCACAAATTCAAGACCAGTTTAGGCAGTTTAGTGAACCTGTCTCAAAATAAAAACTAAAACATTCTGGGGATGTGGTGCAGTGGTTAAGCACTCCTGGGTTCCATCCCCCATACCCAACAAATCAAAACAAGTTGAAAGTGGAATTGTTACACCATCTACATCAATCATTGTAGAAGTCTTTTAATTTTATAAGAAACTGCCAAACTGTTTTCCAAAATGTTCTGCAGCAATTAATATACCCACCAGAAGTAGAGAGTTCTAGTTGCTCCATGGACTTTGCCAACTTGGTATAAATACATTTTGAATAAATAAACAACAGAATGGTGTCCTGGCTCTTGAGATCAACAGTCTTTCCTTGAGTGGGTGACTCATAAGTTCCTCTGAATTCCAAGTTTATAAGGGCAGAGGAGACAAATGGTCTAGGGTAGCAAAGAATAAAGTAGAAATAATGATGATTTCAAACTTGGGATAACCCCTTTTGGTGCTTTAGTTGTAGATGGACACAATACCWTTATTTTATTTTAATTTTTTTAATGTGGTGCTGAGGATCAAACCCTGTGCCTCACACATACCAGGCAAGCACTCCACCACTGAGCCACAATCCCAGCACCAGCAGTTTTTTGTTATTGTTGTTGTTGGTTTTTTGTAAGGAATAATAATTATAAGGAGACACAGAGGCAGGGTGCAAAGGCAGGGAAGGTGGCAGAGTGGCTCTTTGTCCATTAATGACCCTTGGGTCATTAGTACCATAACCACATCATTATTTAGAGTAG